CCTCCCTCTCAGGTGATTCGGTTTCCTTATGTCCTGGAGGGGAGACTGGGCTAAGAAATCCCACGAACGTCACGCTAGTGCGGTCGGATCTCCGTCCCAGCAGCCGAAGTCCCGGCACTGTCGTCGTCGGCAGCTCAATCGTTGCCGCGGACTTCGGCGGCATTTCGGCGGAGGGACCTCCCTCCGCGGCAGCGATTGTGCTGCCGCCGAAGACAGCGGCGGGACTTCGGTGGCAGCTCCTTCGAATCGGGCCCCGCGGTGCCTAAAGCCGGCCCTGGTAATCAGAACGGTCAGCTGTGCACCTTACTCCTAACCTGGGCCCAAGAGCATGCCGCCGTCTTTTGTTTTACTTTACATAACGTGTTAAAAGTAACTTTAGAAACACTCACTTTCCTCCAGCACGAAGCTGAGCGAACGAGACACTCCGATACGGCGAAAGAGCAGAGGCTTAACGAGGGCTTAAGCGTTGAGGAGACAAGACACCGTTACTGGTAGACTCGGGAGATCACCTGGGGACGCCACAAGCCAGGGGCAGATTTGACCTCTGCATCATTCCACGAAAGACTCGGTCGGATCCCACCGTCTGTGCTACGCGTGGGGTGATTCTGAACAGCTGGACGCTCTGCTAGTCACTTGGCCATGAAGCGGCTCTCTGCCGCCGTGAGTTTGCCTCCACGCCATTCCTGTCAGGGTTACTCTCCGAGGGGCCAGTACCTTCAGAGGCCACGAGCTACTGCTCCAGCGGGCGATTTCGCCCCACAGCGAGAGCAGGGCTAGAACTCAGAGCGTCCTACTCTGAAAGGCCAGGGGCCCACCATGTGGCAGAAAGGAAAAATCTCCTTTTGCTAAAGATAGCATAGGGTCTATGACACCTAGTTGAGCAGCGCTGGTTTCATCTGTCAAGGACAGTGACGCACACGTACCCCAGCTCAGAACTGTCTGTAGCATTGACCTGGTTTTCAGCCATGCCAGGCCCTAGACTAACCTTGTCCAATCGCACTGGTCGCTAAACTTCTAATGGGCTGTAATACTAGCTGAGGAGGGCTCTGAGTTACGACAGAGAATTCTCTCCCAGGGGTCTGGCTGGTGGGTCTCCCCCACATGCTCAGGGTCTAACTGATCCCCATATCAGGAGGGAATTTTCTCCCTGGTCAGATTGGCAGAGACCCTGGCTGGGTTTTGCCTTCATCTGCAGCATGGGGCACGGGTCACTTGCAGGTTTAAACTAGAGGAAATGGTGGATTCTCGGTAACTTGGAGTCTTTAAATCATGATTTGAGGTTGTCAGTAACTCAGCCAGAGGCTAAGGGTCTATTAGAGGAGTGGGTGGGTGAGGTTCGAGGTCAGACTAGATGATCATGATGGTCCCTTCTGGCCTTAAAGGTTATGAGTCTAGGAGACACAGACTCTGTCAGCATTTCCATTACCAAGTAACATGAGAGACTCCAAACACTATTCCTTAAACTGCCTTGGCGACATCAGGGAAGCCATGGGGTGGACTTTTCGAAACCTCTGGGCAGCTAGCCCCTATCACCACTATCACTCAGGTCTACTGACTGAGAGGGAAGAGCCCCACCTATTGTATCACCAACACCACTTCCGGCTGTTCCTTGGAAGCCTCCCCCCCAGAACTGAAACAGGCCAGCTCCTGTTTAGCTGAGACCTGATACAATAAAACAACAAGCCATGTGCCTTGCGATCGGCACACCCAGCAAAGGCCGCCTGGTCCCGACGTAGAATAAAAAGCAGATGCTGGAGATCGGCGTATGAAATTTATTAGGAAAAAAAATTCCCCATTTTTTCCCCTTCACAACTATTTAAGGGAGAAAAAAAATGAAACCCCAGAACAACCAATGTAAGAAGAAGGCAGAAAAGCTGGAAAATATTTCACACCCACACACACACGCTAGGTAAGAGAACCCCTACAAACCGGCCGGGCTTTACACTATCTACAGGTGGCTATGTACAAGGGCGAGCGAGAAAATGAATCACACACACATACACAGCAACATTAACACCAGCCAGGGCGCAAAACACGGGCCACAACTTTGAAACAGCCACTTCACATTTTGGTTTGGTTTGTTGTCTCCGCTTTTATACAGCGCCAGGGGAATCCGGTGGCATCTAGGCAGCGGGCTGAGGATGTTGGCACGTCTGTGACGCCCCCACACCCTTCGCTCTTTTGTGCTTGCAAATGAGCGGAAGGATGGGGGCACCTTGCGTGGGTTTGCTGACAGCTCTTGCTTCATTTGCAGGAAAGAGTTCAACTAGAAAAGGGCCGGGCTGGGGGAAAAACACGCTTATGTACGCATGTAAGCTAGCAGTGGTGGCGTTCTCTAAGGGTGAAATCAGACTAGCACATGTTCTCTGTACCCCCTGAGTCCCAGTGCCTAGGTATGCACAGGCCTTACACAGGGGTGAATTTCACCCTCTGTTTTTTCTTACACATCTCCAGTGGAGAAACAAGGGATAGATTTCACCCATTGATTCCCCCCCCCCTGCTTTTCCAGCGTGCCACCAATGGACAAGTCAGACCCTTAGAAACCATCAATAAAGCCACGTTGCCGCGAGTTTACATACACCGTCAACTTTGTTCTTCACGCAGCGGAAGATGGAGCGTCGATAAATAATATCCCATTCCCGAACAATGGCTATAATACAATGGGGTGGTTAGAAATTAATCACAAGCACTGCCAGATACAATCGAATGGAGCGTAACAATCAGAGCAAGCTTTGTTTTCAGGGTTGGGTTTTTTTTTTTTTGCCTTTAGGGGTTTTTTAATTTATTTTTTTCCAATTTCTTTGCTATCTTCCCCTCTGCAAATACTTACAGTTGTTCTAAGAGGGATTGTGGTAGAAAGAACTAGACGTACTCCTATACAAAGCTATCAGCCAACATTCACGTTTAGTAACGACACAAGGTCCTACAGAGTATTTTATACAAAGCATCTTTCTAAAGGCAACTCTGAATAGGTAAGGCAAATGAATACATGTTTTCGGTTAGCATCCTTGTCTTCAGAGTCTCCCGCTGTTCCCCACATACATCAGCACACACGACATATATTCAAAGAAACATACAATTAAAAAAAGACCCCGAGGAAAACCTGTATGTAGCCCAAATCCACAAGGAATTCATACCCACAGCACGGGCCAATGTCTGGTCACTGGTTGCTGTGCAGAGCGGGTAGGGATGACACCCGTGTGTACTGCATGTCACTGAAGACCAGATGTTCCTACATTTACACACTCCAGTGCTCAGCCACGCACAGGATCCGGACAACCCTGCCCTTCCTCCCCAGTTAAACAGTCCAGCTGCTGATCACACTGATGCACTTTGGTAGCCCTTTCCGTTTGAGGCTCTCAAAGCCTGAATAATGGTTCCAGCCTCGGAGCAGCTCCTGTGAGATAAGGGAGTCACGGATGGGGAAACCGAGGCACGGGGCGAGATTAAGTGATTTGCCTGAGGCCGCGCGGTGAGTCAGTGGCGAAGCCAGGAATAGCATCCTCCTTTAGGATGCAATCTGCTGCCCTAAACACCAGCTCCTTTTTTCTTCCCATGCTGAGCGCTGCTCTGGGATGGAAACCTGATCTCCAGGACCGTAAGCCCCAGCCGCTGTGTTTACCGGCAGGGCTGTTTCCAGGCCCGATGTGCTTCTGCTTGGGCTTGCCCCCATTTTACAGCATTGCAAATTCCAACAGTTTTAGATTAAACACACACGGCAGCGCCTACCGCTCCTCAGCCATAGGTTTTAAAGCCAGAGGGGACCACTGTGACCTCCCACGTAACGCAGGCACTCAACACTCTTGAGCCGCTCAGCAGTGAGCATGTCTCTTTTCTGGGCAAGGGCATCGTCCCTTGCCACAAAACATTTACGTAACTCCACCCCCCAGCCGGCCCCCCACAGCAAAGACTCCGGCAGCCCCGTCGGTGTCGGATGGCTTTGGTTGAGGTTTGCCAGGCTCGCGATTTCAGCAAAGCGAAGGGACCCGCTTTGTAATACACCCCTCTGGCCTGCTTGTACCTCTGAAAAAGGGTTTCGCTGGGACTTCGTGCAGTGGGCTTGTGCCAGCGTAACCCACACACCTCCTGGGTGTGGTGTTCTGGCCCCTCTAGTGGCACCGAGACCCCTTGGCGATTAATGCGTCTGCTCTACAACCTTTGCCAAGAGCCAGGTTGCTTCTAGCTCGTGCGGGAGAGTCTCATGCACTAAACTCCAGAGGCCCCAGGTTCGATCCTGTTGGTATTACACCAGCACTCGGCACCGGGTGAATTTCAACCCCTAGGAACAGCCACCGTTGATTCATTTGGATCAATGCCGTTTGCAATGCTGGGGACCCCTGGGCCATGCTAGCCTCCCTCCATGTTTTGCAGTATCATTATTGGGGGAAGAGCCTGGGTTCTCTGGACTCGCTACAAGAAACGGCACGAGCAGCTGATGCCACCTGGCCACATTCTCTTTGGAGACTCTTCTCCCTCTCGATGGTGCTCTCCTGTAGCTCTCTTTCCTCTCTTTGTCTGGAGGGACTGCATGGAGAAGGGCAGCAGTTAGCACACAGGGGCCTAGGCTGGAAAGGGCAGAGCTGAGGGAGACCTTGGATCGGGGTTCTGGTCTGTTTCAACTCAATGGGGCCAACCCATAAGCCCAGATCTGGCTCTAAACTTCCCTAAAGTTTGGGGCTCTTCAGCGTAGTAGGGTGTTTATCTTAGGGCCACCTCTCGTACAGGGATTAGAGACAGTCCCATCTGTCCATCAAATCCACCTCACCTCAACCGAGGATGCCACCGTCCTTCTGCTCCTGCTTCTTGGTTCCCATCTAAGGGCTGGTCCACACTAACCCCCCAGTTCGAACTAAGATACGCAACTTCAGCTACGTGAATAACGTAGCTGAAGTCGAAGTACCTTAGTTTGAACTACAAGGTACTTATCGCGGGTCCACACGCGGCAGGCAGGCTCCCCCGTCGACTCCGCGTACTCCTCTCGCGGAGCAGGAGTACCGGTGTCGATGGCGAGCACTTCCAGGATCGATTTATCGCGTCTAGACAACACGCGATACATCGATGCCAGAAGATTGATTGCTTACCGCCGAACCCGGAGGTAAGTATAGACGTACCCTGAGTTCCTCACCCTCTGCTGATGGCCCTCGAGCACCGCTAGTGGTGGCAATTATGTCATCACCGCACGGAGCTGTTTATGCCTTCAGCTGGGAGACCAAGGGGCACCTGGCCTCAGAGATCCAAGACCCTGTTCCCATGCAGACGCCCCTTGTGAGAAAGACTCAAGCTGAGCGTGCAGAAGACAAGTGAGAAAGCAGCAGACTGGCCTCTCCGCAGAGCGTATCCCGGGGGGAACAGCCAGGGCGAAATCCTGGCCCTACTGAAGTCAAGGGCACAATCCCACCGATTTCAGTGGGGCCAGGACTCCAGCCCAGGCCATTACGTCTTTTCCTAAGAAGGAGGAACAGCCCCTGGGGCTCTCTACACTAGTGACTGCTGCGATTGGCAGGGGAAGATGACGTGGGAAAGGATTTAAAGGTCCACACGGACTCCACAAGCAGGCCTGTCCTCTGATCAGTAGCAAACGAAACCTGCAAGTGCTTCAGCACCAAATGTCCTCTTGAGTGAGAACGTGGGACCAGTGGAACCAGGCCGTGCAGGAGACAGGGCTCTGTCCCATCTGTTTCCCTGAAGGCTGGGACAGCCTCCCCCCGGTGACAATCATTTGCTCAGCAGTGAGGCCGTCTGCCAGATGACGATTTGTCCCTCAGAGTCCACAGGCAGCTGGGACGCGCTGGCCACACCACCGCAGTACTGGCCTAGGGGAGAATGTCTGTATTTCCTGCTTTCCTGACGATGAGCTGAATGCTTTGCTGCAGCTCTGCCGCTCATGGGCCCTAGACCTTATGGAGCTCGAGGATGCAATCTGAATTCAAGGCATATAACGGGGAAAGTGCCAGGTTAGGGTCTGTGATTGCGATACCTGGGAGCTGTACGCTCGCTGGCTGACGCGTTTCTCTCTCTGCTGCATTCCCACCATCCCCCAAGTCACTTAGACCTAAACCACTAGCCCAGCGGGTGCAGCAGAAAAGAGACTGGCGAGCGTGTTAATAAAAGGCCTGAAGGAGGCTTAAAACCCCACCAGCGTCCGTAGAAAACGCTGCCCCCAGCACATTTCAGATGGCACGTGTGACACAGGCCCTCTGGGTTCTATGTCCAATCTAGGCTCTAAATAATCTCCGCGCTGGCCCGGCTAGACAAGGTGCAGGTGGCCCGTGCATCTGGTGAAGGGTGCAGTGTGCTAGCTGGCTCATCGCTCTCTGGCTCTGCACCATTGCTCAGGGAACACAACTGCTCAGGGAGACACCGCTGGGCAGATCCCTTCTGGAACCGGCCGCACCCTGTCGAGGGCAGCCGGGGTGCGTCTGCGTGGGCGGCTGCTGGCTCGGCTGGGTATTTGCAGGGCCCACTTGGGTACCGGGACCGTCTCTGCTAAAGCATCCGAAGGGCTCATCTCAAAAGGGCAGGTTTCAATTACAAAGGCAGCGATGGGCCGAGATGTGGGCGAGGGGGAAAACGCTCTGGGCTGACGTCAATGGACGTGCGTCTGCTTACACCGGGTGTGGCTCTGGCCCCGTCTGAGTTCACAAGCTGGCAGTGCTCATGCACTGGTGTTTCTGCTCAGCACATGCATGGATCAGGGCCTGCCGACTCCAGTCTCTCTCCTCCCCTGCAGTGTCCTCTCAGGACAGGTCTCCCCGTGGGATGGCTTTGGGCTCCTCTCTGGATCTAACCACCCTTCCCCTGCCCTCCCGCAGCACTCAGGGGCAGGCCTCCTGGGCGTGACAGCAGGCGGCTGGCCCTGGATCCGAGAGCAGGGAGGCTGTCGTTGGGAGGAGAGCCGCCGTGAACCTGTGCTTGGGAGTACGGGACCCGTCACGCCCGACTGCCTGGAGGTCAGAAAAACGCATTGTGCTCTCAGCCAGACATCCCCGGAGCAAAGACCCGCTTCCACCGGCCCTACTGCTCTGCGCCCGCGGGTACGTTCACGAGGACGAGCCACAGGTGGTTTCCCCCGGCCATTCGTCTCTGCCACCTCGGGAACATTTCCGCTCTCCTCTGCAACTGGCCCCCTCTCCTCTCCGTCCCCGCCCGCCGGCACAGCTCTTCCCTATCCCAGCCTCACGGGCCAGGGAACTCCCCCGTTCAATAGCCAGGGTTTGCAGACCTCTCCCCCCACCCCGAAGCAGCCAGCGGCGAAAGTCCTCCATGTCGATAGGCGGTGAAGTTCGGCTCTCAGGAGGGCGTGAGGCACGAGATCCTGGTCTGGGACGCAAGGGCAGCTGTGCTCTCCCCGGCCCTGGCGAACCCCCGTTCCGTTCCTAGCCTAGACACCGAGCCCTGCAGCCACCGAACAGCGCCGGTACCCGTACAGAAGGGGAGCGGGGAAGCAGGGTTCATTTCAGTGTACAGCAAAAGGAGTCCAAGGAATAACGCCCCCCACCCCGGCATCCACAAAAGCAGGTGGGTGAGTGTCCCGAACAGGTGTGAATCAGAGCCACTGCCCCACCTGCGGAGCTAGACACAGCCTGGGGGGGGACCGGGGCTGTAGAGAACGCACTGGACAAATAAGGATTTCTCCAAACCGGCTCCCTCTTTCCTTTGGCTCCAGGAGAAAAGGGACAAAGAGTCGCTGGGTTTGTCGCTCCGTCACTCCCCTCCCCGCCCCCCCGCCGCAGTGAGGAGAACCTCATTGCGCCACCGTCTCCATGTGCCCCTCCGTGTCCAGGCAGCCGTTCATCTTGGCGCTCTCCCTGTCCATCCCCTGCAGGTCGTACTCCTCGTCCAGGAAGTCCAGCGAGTTGTTGCTGGGGAGGCCCCTGATGGTGAATTTGTGAGACACTTTGGTCCACTGCTCCCGGTTGCTGGCCACCCTCTCGTACAGCTCGGCGGCTCTCGGGAACAGGTCCTGGAGCAGCCTGGGGGACAAGGAGAACGCCTGTCAGCAGGAGGGGTGGAGAGCCATCGCCCCAGGGGCCGTGAGCGGGGATCGGGGGCCTGCCACGCTCCATGCACGCTGCCAAGGGCTGGCCGGAGCGGAGAAAACAAATGGGCAATGAACTTGAAACAGCCACCTGGGTGTTACAGTCCATAACAGACACACGAGGCAAACGCTGGCAGGGTTAGGCCCCTGGCCAGGGCAGATACCTGGGGCAGGGAGAACCAGCCAGCCAGCCAGCCAGCCAGCCAGCCTTCCTGCTCCGGCTTCACCCAGATCTGGTCACTAATAGCACCAGCCAGCCTTTTTTATCTAGCCTGCTGGGTCCTGATTGGCCTCTGCCTGCTCCTGGCCCTTCTAGGCACCAGGAGACCAACTCTCGCTGGTTCTGCCTGCAGCTGACCATGGGAGGCCCTTCTAGGCAACTGCTGGAGGCCTGAACTCGCTGCTCTTCTCTTCCAGCTGGAGATTATCTTAGGGCGGGGCGCACTGATGAGGTCCCAGTTCCGGGGGGACACACACCACCCGCCAGACAGTGCCCAGCGAGGCTTGCGCCAGGTTCCGTCTGCCCTGGAGCTGAGCAGCCCCTGCCAATGGAGGGTACCAGGGATCGCAGCGTGTCCTCCCTCAGGGTTACACAGGAGCTGATGGCCAGGGCCTGCATGTGATTAAAGAGAATCCAATGCCTAGGGCTGTGTGTGTGTGTGGGTGGGGGGGAGGTGTTAGGTTAAAGAGGATCTGGTGCCCAGGGCACTGTGTGTGTTTGTCAGGGCTGTGTGTGTGAAAGAAGGCTCTGTGTGTGTGTGTGGGCTCTGTGTGTGTGTGTGTGTGCGTGCAGCATTGCTGAGCTCCATGCAGCGGCTGCCTGTGTGGGCGCTGTTCCTGCGCTGAGCCCTGCCCCCCGCCCCAGGCAGCAGCCCCCAGGGACTCACTTGGGCATGTGTGTGTGGGTGTGTGGGTGCATACGGCGGGGAACTCATTTGTAGATGGGTGTGGGTGGGTGGGTGCATACAGCGGGGAACGTCATTTGTAGATGGGCGTGTGTGTGTGTGTGGGTGTGTGTGTATGTGTGCGCGTGTGTGTGGGTGCATATGGCGGGGAACTCACTTGTAGATGTGTGTGTATGTGTGTGTACATGTGTGTGTGTGGGTGCATAGATTGGCGAACTCACTTGTAGATGGGCATGTGTGTGTGTGGTTGCATATGGCGGGGAACTCATTTGTAGATGGGCGTGTGTGTGTGTGTCTGTGTGTGTATGTGTGGGTGGGTGGGTGTGTGGGTGCATACGGCGGGGAACTCACTTGTAGATGGGCATGTCTGTGTGTATGTTTGTGTGCGTGTGTGTGTGTGTGTGTGTATGTGTGCGCGTGTGTGTGGGTGCATATGGCGGGGAATTCACTTGTAGATGTGTGTGTGTATGTGTGTGTGTATGTGTGTGTGTGTGTGCATAGATTGGCGAACTCATTTGTAGATGGGCATGTGTGTGTGTGTGTGTGTATGTGCGTGTGTGTGTGTGTGTATGTGTGTGTGTGTATGTGTGGGTGCATACGGCGGGGAACTCACTTGTAAATGGGTGTGTGTATGTGTGTGGGTGGGTGGGTGGGTGCATACGGCGGGGAACTCACTTGTAGATGGGCGTGTGTGTGTGTGTGGGTGCATACCGCGGTGAACTCACTTGTAAATGGGTGTGTGTATGTGTGTGTGTGGGTGGGTGGGTGCATACGGCGGGGAACTCACTTGTAGATGGGCATGTGTGTATGTATGGGTGTGTGTGTGGCTGGGTGCATACGGCGGGGAACTCACTTGTAGATGGGCATGTGTATGTGTGTGTGTGGTTGGGTGGGTGGTGGGGGTGTGTGGGTGCATACGGCGGGGAACTCACTTGTAAATGGGCATGTGTGTGGGTGGGTGGGTGCATATGGCGGGGAACTCATTTGTAGATGGGCATGTGTGTGTGTATGTGTGTATGTGCGTGTGTGTGTGTGTGTATGTGTGTGTGTGTCTGTGTGGGTGCATACGGCGGGGAACTCACTTGTAGATGGGCATGGCGATGTGCTCCATGAAGCTGATCTGCAGCTCGGGGATGTAGGCCTTCTCCCGGTCCATCATCTCCATGGGGCGGTTGCCCATGGCTTTCTCCTGCAGAGAACAGGCAAAGGGGCGGTGATCCCCGCAGTCCCTGGCTTCACGCCTCCCGGCCCGGCTCCCTCCTGCCTCCTAGCCAGCAATCCCCAGCCCGCATCACCCTGAGCCAGCCTGGGGCTGGTTTAGTCTCCTCTGGGAGCACACAGCCCCATGGATGGAGGGTGCAGAGGGCCAGCCGAAGGTCTGGCTCTGCCTCCACCTGGCCCGTGTCTGGTGCCTCCTGGGGGCGTCAGAGGGAGAGGCTGGCAGGTGATTCAGGGTGGAGAGCCAGCGCTGGGCTTTTTAAAGTGACCTGAAGAGCCACAGCTGAGCTGAACCCAATCTGGGGGGGGGGGTGAGGGGGAGAATCTTTGGCCACGCCACCGTCCGCCTGAAACACGGGCATCAGACACCCTGGCGTGAGAGCCAACCTCCGCGCCCTCTCGCTGGAAATGCAGCCCCTGGCCCGCAGCACAGGGTGGCCTGGGAACAAGCCCGACACAGGGGGATTTAGTCACGTACCAGATCTCCCTGGGAGAAGAACTCCTTGTAGATCAGCTCCTGTGAAGGAAAGGCCACGGATCAGAATCGCTCCATGCTAGCTCCCGTATCCCCTGCTCTGCTTAGAGAGAGACTCGTCTGCCCACACAGTGCTGGGCACCTCCCGTGAGACGCGGGGCCTCTCAATCTCACTGGCATTGCTGGCGTTTTAACAGATACGGCTCTAACGATTCGAAGGGACGTGAGGAGGGTCTGCAGGGCTCGGAAGGGACGAGGCTCTGCTGCGTAGCTCGCCTCACTGGGCCAGCGCACTCAGAGCAAGGGGCTGAGCAAGCTAAAGGAGACCTTTCCTTACGCAAGGCAGGTTTGACCTGTGGAACTCACTGCTGCAGGAAGCTTCCTGCGTCCGTCAAAGGCCTGCTAATGCTCTGCCCACTGATAAGGCAGGACAGCGATCTGGCTGAGCACTGCCATGCTCAGAGCAGAGAATGAGTGCCTGCTGGGAGTGGGAAGGAGCGCTCTCCATGGGGAGCACTGCGCAGCTGGCTAGGGTAACGGTGGGACTTGCTTTGCCCGTCTCTCTGGCGCTAAGTGCTGGCCACCGAGGGGGAGATGTACTGGAGCAGATGGACCTAATGTGTGATATTAGCACAGAGACTCGGCTGCACCCCAGTTGTAGGTGGCAGCTCGTACCAATGAGCACAGCAGCCTCCCCCCTTTACTCCTCCAGGGGGCGCTGGACCCCTGGGTACCACATTCGAGTGTGACTGGGGGCACTAGGCGGAGGGGGAGGGGCCAGGCTGGCCCCGCTGGTACTCACAGCGATCTTCCGGGTGGTTTTCCAGCCCTTGGTCTGGTCCGAGAGGTCGCAGGAGGTCATGAGCAGGCAGAGCAGCAGGCTGTGGTGTTGCCTGTTCTCCGGGTCGTAGCCCACTAGGCAGGGGGAGAAGAGGGCCGAGCGCTGAGTCGCCGGGCGCCAGCGGGATAGATCTCGCGCCGCGCTCCCGCGGTCCCAGCCCCGGGGCCGGCAACCCCTCCCCAGTGCCAGCCGGCTGGAGCCCGGCGTGTGCAGAGATGGAAAAGCTCTGCCAAGCCGCTCACGCCCAGATCCTCCAAGGGGGCTAGGTGCCTAACTCTCCTCGGCGTCAGGGGGAGTTAGGAGCCTTTGAGGCTGATGGGTTGGATTTCCCTGGATTACTCTGGATTCCCCTGGGTTGGGCCCTCTGCCGGGCCGGAGGACTCCAGGAGCCGCTCCCAGGTGCCTGCCTGACAGGGACAAGGTGCAGCTGGAGTCAGCATCCCCCGGCATTCGGGGGCCTTTGCACCCCGCCCGGGGGCTCAGTCAGGCCAGCGGTGCCCTGGCACAGTGAAGGAGCTGAGGAGTGGTACTGCCCCCCAGTGGTCACACAGGAGCATTACAACCTGCCAATTTCAACTTCCACCCTCAAAGCGAAGCCAAGGACCACTGGGATCTGCTGCTGGTTCTAAGCCCAGAGCCCGAGACGTTTTCCTGTTCTAGCTGTAAATCACACGGGAGCCCTCAGGTGGCTGCTGGCTGCCCTCCCAGGGACGGACTCCAGCCTCCCGGTGCCGGGATCCGGGAGCGTTTGCTAGCGGCCGGTTTCACGTAGCACCTCTCGCCAGTGCTGCCAGCGCCCCGGGGGCCTTTACCTTCCGCCATCTTCTGCAGGTCCTTGAAGATCCGCAAATGGTGAGCGAGATCCGTGGCCAGAATAATGTCCCTCATCAGATCCAGCATCCTTTGGTAATCCTGCAAGGCCAATCACACTGCCCCTGAGTGCCACGTGGCTCGGTGACCTCACACCACGTGGCCTGATCGGCACAGAAAGGTCAGGGGAGTCAGCCAAGGTCACCAGGACGGGGAATGGGACCAAGGAGACTCAAGTCCCCATGACCTGTTCTAACCACTAGACCACACTTCCTTCCACCTCGCAGCCCTGTGGCTTTTATCCAGTGGAGTCCACGGCTGGGTCAGGGGCTTTGTTTAATCAGTGAGCGTTTCCCCTGGAAGCAGAAACCCTTTTCGGATGGAAGACTCCTCGGATCCAGGAGGAGGGAGGCATGGCTTGTCCGAACCTGGCACAACGTGCGTCACTGCGTCTGGACAGGCGATTCGCCGAAGGAACCAAGGAGCGAAGCCCAGGCCGGCCCACACCTCTGGGAGAAGGACTCTGTCTGGGATGTGAGGTGCAGTGCGTGGCTGGCCCTTCTCACCCGGACAGCAGGGCTCTACTCCTGAGGGGGCCCCTCAGGAGGTCTCAGCACGTGCCTAGGAGCCAATAGCACCACGTAATCGGGTACAGGCCCGGCTGGAGTGCCAGGGGATCCGGTGGGTCAGGAGTGAGGGGCCTTGGACACAGCACAGATGGGAATAGCCAGGCTTGCTGTGGGGCAGGAACAAGGTGCATCACAGAACAGGCTGTGGGGGGTCTAAGGCTGGACTAGCAGGGGGCTGCATGTCAGGAGTGAGGGGCACCGGCAGCGAGCTCCGCCCCACTCACCTTGCGGGAGAAGTGGTCGAAGATGTTGCAGCCGTGGGTGTTCAGGATGGCGATGGCCTGTGCGAAGTGGTGTCTCTGAGGGGCGGAAACCGAGGCACGGCAGGGAGGGCTGCATTAGTGAGAGGGCTCCACCAGGGGGCAGCACCTCCCCATTGGCACATACACCCTCCGCCCCGCTCGTAGGGACGAGTGGGGCAGGACTCCCCGCGCCTTACGGCTGGGCTGTGGGGAACGTACGGAGGGGGCAGGCAGGGGCTTTCCCTGTTATTCCACCCCCCAGGCCTTGGGCTTTCCCTAAGCTGCCCTCTCTCCTTGTCCCCGGGTGAGGGAGGAGGTGATGGGGGACTCCATGCCCATCTATCCATGGCCCTCACACCTGGGGCAGCCACCCTGCCCCGCTGCCAGCATGGAGCTGCAGAGACCCCCCCCCCCCGAGGCTGAGAACTGCCGCAGTTGTTTCATTGGTGAGCTAGGCAAGCCGCCGCCAGAGTGCGGCAGGGCGTGGGAACAAGGCGAGGCGCGGGGCAGAAGGCGTCTTACCTCCATGACGGAGCCCTCAGAGCTGTAGAGCGCCGCCAGGACGGATTTCTGGAAGACAGAGGGGCACCGAGTGGGGTCGCCAGCCAGGGGCGAGCGAAGGCGTCCGTCTCACTGGAGCTTTAGGGTTAGTGGGGGCTGCAGCTGGGCAGGTGCCCCCCTGCCACGGCTCTGACAGCCTCCCAGCCCGGCCCCAGGAGGGACCCAACAGAGATCGGCTGCCTGTGTCACATGGGGTCACGAGGGGGGCGGGCACGCTCCGTTGCTATGGCCCACGGGCTGTATATTCCCCGCCCCGCCCCTCTGCTCACCGGGGATTCAGTAGCAGATCCCCTTCCCAGAGAACATTGTATGGGGTGGGACTGAGATCCGGCGTCAGCCAGAGGCGCTGGCCCTTGAGTCTCAGGGGCTGGAAGGGTTTCCACCCTCCGAATGGGAGGCCAGTTCCCCTGCGATGTAGGAGTGATCTCCTCGAACCCGCACCAGGTGACTGGAGCGTTTCCAGCCCCCCTGCCTCGCGGTGGGGCTGGGAGCCGGAATCACAGGGGAGGGAGAATCATGAAAACGCCCCTGAAGCTCATTCCTGGGCTGGGGGAGAGTCGGGTTTTGGACCAAGGTCTGGGGCAGTTGGCAGAAGCCAGTGACGGACGAAGCCACACGATCCCCCCGAGGGCTGGGCAGGTCCTAGATACTTGGCTCATGGCAGTTGCAGTGTTCTCCACACCACGGCTCCCCCTGCCCTGGAGGGGCTGTGGGGATATGATGTCACCTCTTGTCACTACGTTTTCCTTTGCTTAGCAACATCGGCCGAATGTTCAGATAAAGGTCCCCGGGGCTTTGGTACCCCACAACGAGGTGTCCTGGGAGCCCGACCCCCCAGCAGCTTCATCTCCAGCCCCATCGGGGACCCAAAGCCCTGGTGCCCAATGGATCTCCTGTAATCCCCCGGCCTCACCAGCAGATCTCCTGTAATCCCCTGGTCTCACTGGCAGATCTCCTGTAATATCCCAGGATTACTAACAGATCTCCTGTAACCCCCGGCCTTACCGAAGCCACCTGGAAAGAGTTATTGGTGCCTCTGTGGTCCAGGTCGTGACACATGCAGGAGACGAACAAGGCGAAGATCTCAATGTCTCTGTGGAGAAAAGGACTCGCTGAATCGCGGTGACGAGGGGTGGGAGGGGCTCTCGGGGCAACACCTCCCTCTCTCGGGGGCCAGCTCAGCCCATTCTCTGCAGTGACCTCTCCCGGCTGACAGGACTTCGGCGCCGGGACCGTCCAAACTAGCCTCACTTCTGCAGTCCCAGGCAGGCAGACACATTCTGGCGCCACTGAAAGTGGGGGGGGTCCCCATTGAGCTTAATGGACCTACTCATGCCAGGTGCCTATAGGTGCGGGGATCATTTTGTGCACCCACTTCTGGGCTGGAACACTGCAGTTGCACGCAGGGACATGACGGTTTGGGACAGGAAATGAAGAGGAGCAGTGCATTGTGGGAATTCAGTGTGGCAATGTGGCACGGCCCAGGGCCAACCCCCTGACTTGTGCAACATGCCGTGGGCAAGCGGTGAGAACCCGTGTCCACTGGTGCACCCTGGAGAGCGGCGCAGCGCCCCCTAGCACCACGTCAGGGAACTGGGCTGATGGGAGACTCGAGGGGAGAGCGCCACCTGCTGAATCAGCGGGGGAGAGGGAGTGGTGCAGATCGCCCGCCCCGCGGAGCTGGGAGAGCCACAGGCCACGGGGCCAGGGGTGCAGAGCCGGGGCGGGGGGAAGCTGGGTCTCTGCAGGAGCTGTAACCATCCACCTACTCCAGGTATTTGACCAGCTCCAGGTTCTTGTAGAGCAGGTAGCAGAAGTGGGAGACGGAGAAGGCGTGCATCCAGTTGTGATAGGGCGGGTCCCGGTAGCCCTTCCTCACCATCAGGCAGAACCTGGCCGGAGCGGGGAGAAGGGGATGAGAACGCAGCCGCCCCCGGGGAGCCGGCACTCGGCTCTGCACTGCCCCCGTGCTCCAGGCAGAGAACGCCTGGCAGGGCGCTTCCACCCTTGAACTGCCAGGTCATGTCATAGACTCATAGGACTGGAAGGGACCTCGAGAGGTCGTCTAGTCCAGTCCCCTGCACTCAGGGCAGGACTAGGTATTGTCTAGACCATCCCTGACAGGTGTTTGTCCAACCTGCTCTTCAAAACCTCCAGAGATGGAGATTCCACCACCTCCCTAGGCAATTTATTGCAGGGTTTAACCACCCTGACAGTTAGGAAGTTTTTCCTAATGTCCAACCTAGACCTCCCTTGCTGCAGTTTAAACCCATTGCTTCTTGTGCCATCCTCAGCGGCTAAAGAGAACAGTTTTTCCTCCCTCCTCCTTGTAACTTGAAAACTTGTCATCAGGTGTCCCCCCCGTCTTCTCTTCAACAGTCTAGACAAACCCCCGGTACTGCAGTGCTGGGCAAGAGCACCCCCTGCTGGCCACAACCTCCCTCCCAGAGCAGCCAAGCCCCCGCGGCGAGCGAGCCCACCTGGCTAGCGTCTGGCGATCCATTTTGTAGTTGTTAATGAAGTTCATGTCCTGCAGCATGCTCAGGATGGCCTGCGGAGGGAAAGGGAGCAGAGAGCTGGCTGAGAGGCTGTGCCCGGGCACCGGGCTGGCACTGAGGAGGCCAGGCTGGGCATGGAGCTAACCCCCTGCACCCCTCTCAGCATTCATAGAATCAGGGGTGGAAGGGACCTCAGGAGGTTCTAGTCCAACCCCCTGCTCAAAGCAGGACCAATCCCCAACTTTTTTTTTTTTTGCCCCAGCTCCCTAAATGGCCCCCTCAAGGATTGAACTCACAACTCTGGGTTTAGCAGGCCAATGCTCAAAGCACTGAGCTATCCCTCTCCCCCTTGGGGGGCAGGAGCCACATACGGCACAAACTCTCCCCCAAGCTGGCGCTGACGCACCGGTGGCTGTCAGGCTCCCGCCCCCGGGTGGGCACGGGGGGCAGGCAGCGATGCCAGGAAATCGTATCGACGCCTTGGACCCGAGGTGGGATTGGAGCGCGGGGCACTCGTGTTAAACCAAGGCGAATGCAGCTCCTTGGCGGACAGACGCCCCAAGCCAGGGCCAGATCCTAGCCCAGGCTGTCTCCGGTACCTACCTAGAGCCCATCACCGTAGCATTGGATACCTCCTGGATTTCTCCTAGCGCCCCTCGGAGGCAGGACAGGGCTACAGACACTGGAGGTACAGAGGGATCCGCCCATGCAGCCGTGGCAGACCCACACCTCGGGCGCCCTAGGCTAGCCCCTAACCCCAGCTCATCCCCCCCTCGGGGAGCTTGGCTACCAGCTGCCATGGGCAGGACCCTAGACGCCAGCCCCGGGGGCACTCACCATGGGCGTGTCGTCCTCGGGCAGCGAGCGCGGCGTGTAGGTGAAATCGGCGAAGCGATAGTCGATGCTTTCCACGGGGCAGATCCCGTCGCTGAGGAGCTTTTTGTATTCCTCGTCCGAGACCTGCAAGGGGAGCCCCAGGATGGGCTGTTAGCGCCGGGGGCCGAAGCCCAGGCCTGGCGGAGGAGCTGCAGATGCAGGCCGCATTCAGCCGGGCATGGGCGCCCAGTGCTGCCCTGACAGCCCTGTGCTGGGCTCCTCTGTCCACCAGGTACAGCCTGGGCAGCAGTGGGGCTGGCGCAATGATCTGACCCGGAGGCAAGAGAGGTTCCCGCGCCACAGCCCATGCTGCCCCCTGGCCTCTCTGTGGAGCCTGCCAACGTGGGGGCCAGTTAGTGCCAACGGGGTAGTCAGTGCACTGCTGCTCTATCGGGGTAGTCAGAGGCTGTGACCCGGTTACACTGGGGCAAATCCAGAGTTTGCCCCTAAAATGCAGCCAGCTCTGGGGTGGAGCATGGGAGTAACACTGAGTGTGAAGCAGTCTGTAGGCAGGGGAGCGCAGACTGGCCCCTCCGGGGGGAACTAGAAGGAAGATGAGCCAGACACCCACAGCGTCACCCATCCTCACCCATAGCTCAGTGCGGCTCCAGGGCTGCGGAGACGCAACAACCAGCCCCATGTCCCCAGCCGGCCCCACTCCCTGGGGAGCCCCCCCACCCTCTGACCTTCATGTGGTACATCATCATTTCATTGGCCACGTGGCTTCGGTATTGGGCTTCGTGGACCTTCTTGTAGAGCAGCGACTGGAGGGGAGGGAAGGAGAAGGCGATCAGAGCCCGGGCGGACGGGCTCCTGCTGCCCTTGGCTCTCCCGGGGCCTCAGCTCCCGCCCCGTGTGCTCAGCACGAGTCTTTCCAGGAACTCAGGCCTTTCAATCTCCCTAGGCCTAAGGCACGCGGCGCTGGGGTGCGCCTGAGCTCCAGCCCCCCGCTCCCCCGACCTGAGCTCACGCGCACATGGCCAGGCATCGCCTTCACCTCTCCTAGGGTGCCGAGAGGCGACAAGATTCACCGATGACCCAGCGTTATTTAAGGCTCCGCTTGTCACTTGTAACTACGCTCCCCGCTCCATGTACAGCTGAAATGCAGCTGCCTCTGGGGCGGAACCCGACAGACAGTGTGCAGCCACACAACAGCTTGGGACAGGAAGGGAAGAAGAGTCTGGTGTCCAGTCGCAGGGAGGCAGAACACAGGCGAACCCTGCTCTGTGCTGAGACGGCAGCCTGGAAAGCACCATAGAGGGCAGGCGGTCTGCAAACGTCAGGCTTGGCTGGGGGGGGGCAGACGCTGTTGGGAGGTCGCTGGGTCCCCAGCCTTCCCCAACCCACTGCATCCAGCTTTCTCCAGCAAAAGACTTGGGGAGCTTGGAAGCTTCGAAGGCTGGGCCCGTGCCCAAGCCACCGAGAATCTGGCATGGGAATCCACCCCTCCTCCCCCGGGTGCTGGACCCACCCACGTGGGGCAGCCCCCCCGCTTACGTGGGCGATGCTGATCCCGCAGTAGATGGAGAAAGCCGTGGCCAGGTCCTCGTCGAACTTGCTGAACCAAGGCCCGTTGATCTTGTTGACCAGCTCTGCCACTCCGATGACCTCTGGAAGAACAGCGAGAGCCCAGCGTACCGACGTGACGACGCACAGGGAAACCCGGCTGCCCTGGGCTCCCAGCCATGTTCTGGCATGGGTCTGCCCAGGGCGCTGGTCCACAGGGGTTGGGGCTGGGACAGGGGGAGCCCGTCCCTCCCACCTCGTGCTCTAGCGACCCACAATCCCCAGCATTGGGCGAGCAAGTTGAGTTGGGAGGAAAGGTCAAAGCCCTGCGTGAAGCCAGCAATGGGGTGCCTGGCCAGAGGGTGTGTCCCTGGATGGGGCACCGTGCGTCATACAGGGGTTGGTGGGGAGGCCAGCGAGGGGTTAAGCAAATCGGGGGGGGGAAAGAGTGGGGAGCACCACTGCCTGCCCTGAGGATTTGCTCCCCATGGCTGCTTGCAGACACTCTACGGCCGCCAGCAGAGATCGAACCAGGGACATTCAGAGCCTGCCTCTCCCACACCGCCCAGTCAGCTCCAGGCTGCCATAGTGGGGCTGGCACTAGAGGGTGACATGCCCCAGGCATGGGGCTGCGGGGGAGGCAGCAGGGACTGACCGGCTGCTGGCAGTACTGGTGGGGGGTGTTTACCGACAGCATCGCCGGGCCGCTCGCCCTGGGTGGTTTGACTCACCAATATCACAGAGCCCCAAGGGCATCCCGTGCCACCCTCCGGTCCCACAGGGGAAGGGCCGAGGCCGCCTGGCCGCTCACAGGAGGGCCAGAGTGTGATCCCGCTGCAGTGCAGCGGGGGATGCAGGATGTTAATGCGGGAGCTGCCACTCGCCCCCCGGAGATTGTCACTGCCGGGCCGGGCCAGCGTACGGTGCCAGGCAGAGAGCCCTGTGGCCGGAAGCGGAAGGCCGAGTGGTTTCGTTCGGCGAAGGGCAGGAGTTCAGCGCATGGCGCTGGGGGTCACTTATCAACGTGACACCCCACGAAGGAGCAGCAGCTGGGCTTCTCCTGGGGACACCTGTGTCTACAAGTGTCTGAGTGGGGCCAGGGGACTCCCAAGCACCAACCCCACGTTCTGGGGCTCCTCCCCGCTGGGGATCTCAAAGCACTTAGGAACACTTAGTTAAGCTTAACAATTAAGTTCCCGGTAAGGTGGCTACATAGACATGGGCCAGAACCTCAGCTGGTGTGATGCGGCGTAGCTCTGCTGACTTCCATGGAGATTTGCCAGTTAACACCCGCTGGGGATCGGGCCCAGATGTTCCGACAGGTGGGGAAACTGAGGCACCGGCTCAGTGGTTTGCCAAGGGACTCGCAGTGGGTTGGTAACAAACCCTCCTGAATCCCAGCCCTGTGCATTAGCCATGAGCTCACCCTGCTGCCCGAGTACAATGGGCTGACATCAGGCTCCATCCAACCTTCGGGGTGTGGGACTCTCCCCCCAGGGGAAGGGCTGGGGTCTCCAATGCGTGCGGCACTCAAACAAGACTCAGGGCAATTTAACTTCACTCCTCCCTTCTCACAGCCCGCCCCGTGACAAGGGTCAGTTCCATGCTCATTATCTGAGGAGTGGGGAAACTGAGGCACGGAGCTGTCACGTGCCTTGTCCAAGATCACAGAGCAGGCCATAGGGGTCCTGCTACCACCACTAGAGCGGGGGTCCCTCATCCTCAGTACCGGCGGCGAATTAATACAGAGGCTGCTTCTTGACCGTCTCTCCTTCCCTTCGTCTCCAGCTGCTCTGACCCATCGCCAGGCTCCTCTTGGGAATGAGGAGCCAGGAGACTGGCGGAGGCAGCTGGAGACACGGCGGAGTCGGCCGCGCAGGGGCCTCCGCTAGATCCCAGCTTGGGGAACGCTGCTCTAGGAGAACACATGGCCAGGAACTACACCCTGGCGACCAAGCTGGGATCTGATGGGTCTTTGCCCTTGTGTGGCGTCTAGGGAGGCGGCATCGAGGGAGCGCTTTGCCCAATGCCCGCGTGCCCTGGCAGCGCCCGGGGAGCTGCACCCCGATGCCCGGTGCTGCCCAGGTTCTCACCATGGCTCTCGTTCTTGATGGGGAAGCACAGGATGTTTCGGGTCCGGAAGCCGGTGCTGTCGTCCACCCCCCGGTAGAAGAGCGGGTGGGAATAGGCGTCTTTGATGTTGAGGATCTTCCCCGTCGTTGCCACGTGACCCGCGATGCCCTGATCCGCCGGGATGCGGATTTCATAGCTCTGAGGGACGGGATTGACCGAGACGTTGGCCCCATGCTGCCCATCTCCGTACAATCCTCCGTCCTCCCGGGGCTCAGGGAGCCACCTCCCATCCCCATCTCCTGGGATTCGGTCCCATCTCCTTACCTTGCACCCTGCCCCTCGCCACCTCCATCTCCAGTCTCCACCCAGCCTCCCTGTCCCGGCCCTCATGCAGCAGCGCCCTCGGCCTGGCCTGGAGACCGCTCTCCTCCTCATGACCAGCCATCCCTGGTCTGGAGCGGGTGGCTCCAGCTGATCCCCTTGGCCTCACCTCATCCTTGGGCCTGCTCCATCCTCCCGGGTCTGCCTACGCTACCACCCGCAGCTCCCTCTGCTGGCGAGCCCCAGGCCCTCCCGGGAGGGCTTACCTCGTCATCCACCACGCCCCCGTCAAACACCTTGGCCACCAGCTCATGGCTGAACGTGTCCAGCAGGAAAACGGAGCATCTGCAAGAGACAACCAGCCGCTCAGTCAGATCTCCACAGCAACCAGGCAGCCTTGGCTGCAGAGTACCGTCCAGTCCCGGGGCAAAGCCCATGGAAGGCAGCGGAACAACTCCCATTGACTTCCCTCGGCTTCGGACCAGGCCCACAGCCTCTGGTTAGCACATCTCCCCTTTGGATTCATTGATCCAGTGCCCCACCGTGAGACTAGGGATTCCCTTGATCCCGGCTTCTGTGGTCCCTGGTGATCCCGTGGCATGGGGGGTTAGCCCCACAGTTCTGGCTACATTGCAGCTGGGGAACGACATTCGGCTTTCCTCAGTTTCCCCTGCTCTCCCTTCCGGGCAAGGTGTTCTTCATCTCCTGTCCTAAACTACGCAGTGCTGTTGGGCACAGAGAAGCAGCTGCCACATTCTACCCCAGAGGTGGCTGCATTTCTGTGGTGGACAGAGATCCTTTTGGATAGATGTGAAACACTTTGGGTCCGTGTTGGATACAATTAGCTGGTTTGCCAACAGCTGCATTATGTAGGCTTTCCAACCCTCCAGGACTGACCTGGAGTCTCCAGGAATTAAAGATTAATCTTTAATTAAAGGTTATGTCATGCAATGAAACCTCCAGGAATACACCCAAACAAAATTGGCAACCCTATGTGGGTGGCATATTCCTCTACCCTGGTCCCTTCCTGTGGCTATTCTCGTGGATAGGGGCTGATCTAGCCCTCTGCACTCAAAACATACAGGAAAATTAAAACATTTAAACACCACTTCCTGTTATATTTACAAATGCAGACACCTGAGAAGGAGAAAATTAAGATTGGAAGTGTGTAACCTTAACTGTGCCCCCCTGGGCCATGTAACCTTAACTCTGCCCCACAGCCCATGTAACCTTAACTCCAGCCCCCAGGACACATACCCCTAACTCTGTCCCTGGGACATGAACCTTTAATGTTGCCCCTTCCCCTGGTGCATCTGCATCATTGTGCTGCAGTCGTTAGTCACACAATCATGTTCTATTTCTCAGCTGTTATATTGCACCGTAGGAGTCTCTCTCTGGGACACAAAGCTGCATGCAGCAGAAGCCAAAGAAAACACTTCTCCCCTGAGCCCTGCGTAGGCTGTGTGTGGCTGAGTTTTGCCCAGCCCTAATCTTTGCAGGTGCTTGGGCTATTAGCCTGTGGGCCGAGCCCGTGTGAATCAGGCCCAGCGCTGCCCCCGCAGGGCCAGCCTCGGGAGTGCAGGGTCAGGCCCCGTGTTCATACCTTTGTGGGGCTGGGGACTTTGGGTAGGGGCTTCCATGTGGCTGTGCAGCAGGTGAGTGAGCCTGGCACACTCCCGGGCTGGCGACAGCAACCCTCAAGCCCCTTGTGGGGGCACAGGGTAAGACGGGACTGGGGCGTGATCGTCACCTTGTTCCACATGATGCGCTGGAGGGAGCAGGCAGCCGGCAGCTGCGTTCTAAGTGCAGGCCTGAGCCCTGAGCCCCTGGCCTGGGCAGGATCTAGCCCAAGACCGTCCCAAGAGAGAGTCACGTTGATCAGAGAGGACAGGGCCTGGCCTCTCCTGAGCCCGGGGGGATGCCTGGAGCAGCAGCTCTGCTGGACCTGCTCCGATTCACGCCGGGGGACGCGAGAGGAGAGCCAGGCCCCGTCTCCATGCTCAGGAAGTCCGCAGGTTTGCTGCCTTATTGGGGTGTTGCATGGGGAGCGAGCGTGGGGGGGGGGGGATTTACACCGGGGAGCCGGAGATCAGAGCTGTAAAAATAACCAGCGAGGAGCAGCTTTCCCACGGGATCAGCTGTTCCCGGCGCATGTCCCAGCCGCAGCAGGGAATCCAGGAACGTGATGCCAGTGTGCATGCACACCTGGCCTCCTTGGGAGCAGGGGGCACCCGAGGGGCACCCAGCCTGACTCCCCACCCCTAGGGTAACGCCTCGCGCAGAGCAGCCGCTCACTCACATTTCGGCGTTGCTGAGATTCCGGGCTTCCGTGATGATCTCCTGGAGCAGCACCGACACATCGTCTGCGGGGGAGAAGCAGATGGTTTGGCAGCTCAGACCGGGCCCAGGCAGGAGGGGCAGGGGCAGGGCGGCTGTGGGGACCGGCGAGGGGACACAGAGCCCCTCACCTCTAGGCCTGAGCCCCCTGACGCTGAGCAAGAGGCCTCTCCAAGGGACGGCTCCGTGACCAGAGCTGGTGGCCTTGGGTCGTGGCGCATGGGTGTGACACCCCAAAGCAGGAGCTATGGGGTTAGGCCAAGGTCCTGGCCGTCAGCCCCATACCCGAGTCCATTGCGAGGATACCAGGCTGCGGCTCTGTAGGCTGAACATGCCAGGGTTCTAATCCCCCCAATGCCAGCTCCCTCCACAGCGAGTCACTTCCCTGCCCCGTGCCTCAGTTTCCCCATCAGTACCGGGGACAGTGCCTCTTACTTACTCTGCAGGCCGTCTGGGAGGCTTGGCGAGATGCTCGGGGGATGAAGGAGGTGCTACATAAGTGGTGCGAGGGCCAGATTCTACTCGCCATGACACCGGGGTAAAGCCGGAGGGATGTCAGTGGGGCCCCCTGGGGTCACAGGACCTAGCCCTTAGCACCGCTGTACAGCCCTTTAACATGGCCCTGGGGCCCTGACTCCATCCCTAGGCCTCTGGACACACGGACGTGGCTATTTGCCTTGTGGCTGCTTGAGCACCCAGACGGAGGAGCACTAGGTGCCGCCAGCCCTCCCCGGTCAAGCGCCCTGGCAGGCTTCGCCCAGCCCCGGCTGCCGGGCAGTCATTTATCACAGCCTCACACGGCCGGCGTCGGCTCTGGGGGCTGGCTCCGACGAGCCCTGCTCTTTGTGGGACCGTGTGCGCGCAGCAATCCGGCTCGGCCTTATCTACACCGCCTGCGTGTACAGCCGCGTCGCGCCGCGCCTCGCGGGTCCCACCGGCCTCGGAGAGGAGCCGAGTGAGGATGTCTGGGAGCACACAGCCAACTGGGGGCAGCCGTGCGAGAGCTGGGGAGGGGACGCCAGCCTGCTAAGCAGCTAACTAGACGGAGGCAGGCAGGCCTAATGGTTAGACACTAGCCTGTGACCGGGTACTTCTAACTTCCCCTTCCCCTTCGTTACGATGGGAATAGGGCCCATCGTGAAGCAGAGGCGGTGGCCAGCGTCTCCAGCCCGTTGCAGAGCTTGGGGCTGGCCGTGCAATCAGGAGCAGGGCAGAGCCGACCCTCGCCTCCCCGGATGTTTAGAGCTGGGGGGGGGGGGGCTGTAGAGAGAGGCCAGCGTCCATGTGGCCCCTTAGTGGATACAACCAAAGCAGTGATTTCTAACTCCCCTCCCCCGCCAGCCAACGGGAAAACACCCCACGCGATGGCCGCCGGGTGTCCCCCGTGAGAAACGGGCGGGAGGTTCTCAGCCCAGTCTGCAGTGGGCGTTGCCCAGGTGATAACCCGCTGCGGATTGGCACGGGTGGTGGCAGCCATCCCAGGAAGGTCGGGGAGACTGGGCTCCTTATTCGTTAGTGTTTGGGGGTTTCCCTCGGGATCCCAGCGCAGGGCAGCGCCCACGCCCTGTGGGGCAGACGGAAGGAGAGCTGGCCGGGGACGTCTTCGGGGAGCAGGGCTGAGTCTCCAGGATGTGAAGGACCAATTGTTGCTACCAGCTACAGCGGCTCCGTTAGCTCAGGCCCTGGGAGCCGTATTTCGGAGCTGAGAAGACAGGGCCGTGAGCCCTCTCTGAGTGATGCATGCAGGGAGGTTGCCGTGGATTTGTCATAGGGGCCTGTGTCCACTAGGAATGTGGCTTCCCAACGGGCCCCCAGCCTGGCCCCAGCAAACCTGGGCCAGTTGAATGTGCAGACCTAGAGACGAAGGCCCAGCCGGCCCATCAGTGAGTCGGGCGCTAGCAGTACGTGGCCTGTAGGAACAGAAAAAGCCACCTACCCAAGTGCGTAAACAGGTTCTTAGCCACTTGCAGGAGCGCCTGTGGGGGGGAAAGGAAATCTGGTTATCTGAGTTCATTATTGGAGTTAATTAGACAAGTCTGCTCCCCTCCTCCACCCCGGGCTCAAGACCAGTCACCAGCCAAAGCTCACTTCCGTCTTCCTGCTTGTGACCTCCGCAGTCTGCTATAAATCCCCACGTTTCTGCCTAATTAGCCCTCATTATCTCCCACAAGCACCTGACACCCGCTGGCTCAGGGAGGGACGGACAGCGATCGGCAGCAGGGACACAGACAGGGAGCGGGCCTGAGCACTGGGTGTACAGAGAGCCCTGGCGAGCGGGATCTCCCCCAGGGTGCTGCCTTCGGCTCAGCGGTGTTAGGGTAGTAGCGGAGATCAGGGCCCTACCATGCTAGGCGCTGCACGTACACAGAGCGAGAGCCAGTCCCTGCCCCAAGGAGCTTACAGTCTACACAAATGGTGGGAGGGGAAACTGAGGCACAGAGCAGGAACAGTGGCAAAGCTAGAAATGGAACCCAGATCTCCTGACCCCGCCCCCCCCCATCCAGTGATCTAGCCACTAGGCCACACCGCATCCCCCACAGGGCATTCCAGGGAGTACAAGAGAAATGCTCAGAGGGACTAGGAGAGAGGAGGGCAGGACAACGCGGAGGTGACGGGACAGAGATGCTGTCCAAGGGGGATAAGCTTTGTGTCCTACCGGTGAGGGAAGTCACTGCTTTAACCGCAGCCCTGCGCTATTGGTGGGTTCCCCCCAAGCCCCCGTTAATACACCTCTACCTCGATATAACACGACCCGATGTAACACGAATTCGGATCTAACGCGGTAAAGCAGCGCTCCGGGGGGCGGGGGGGCTGCGCGCTCCAGCGGATCAAAGCAAGTTTGATATAACGCGGTTTCACCTATAACGCGGTAAGATTTTTTGGCTCCCGAGGACAGCCTTATATCGGGGTAGAGGTGTACCATCAAATGGTTTCTAAACATCTGTGGATTCCCATTAATTCCCCCATCACACACACACACACACACACACCGCCCCCACCCATCACCCTGGGAGCAGCGGCCATCCTCAGGGCAGGAATCAGTTCCTCTCTGGGAGAGACTTTGCCTCTGTCAGGCATTAGGCCCAATCGGTGAAGTTATTTCCTGGTCCCCAGTGCAATGCTGATGCTATGCCCCATAGTGCCACCGGAGGGTGCCCCGAGCACGAGGCTGAAGCAGATGTTCACTACCGTGTTCGGGTGTGAGTCTGTGTGGTGGGGGGTTTGGAGCAAGCCACATCAAGGAGTCGGCACGGGTCGGCCTGGCTGAGCGTGCAAAGGAGAGCGCATCAGGTGCGTAACCAACGCCAGCCCGTGTGACTGTGTGAGATCCCGGGTGTGTCAGTGAGCAAACACATGAGGATATCCACCTGTGCGAGGGAGTGTGTCACCACTGGCGTGCCGGTGTACACTTGGGTGTGCCAGCAGATGCGCATGCAGCCAGATGCCGTTGCCTGCAATAGTGCGAGGCACGTAAGTGCATGTGACCCAGCGCTCGTGTGTACATACATGAGGGTGCCTGGGTGTGTTCACTAACCCTGAACTGCAGCAGATCTAAGCCCCCGGGAAGCAGGTTGGGTGTAGAACTGGGCGGGAAACAGTTTTCCCAGCCTGGAAATATTTTCCAGAGTTTGCAAGTTTTCACGTGACTGTGGACAAAAAGTCGGATTCGAACGTTTTTGCAAATCAAAAAAACAAAAATGTTTCGGCTTCGGTCAGTCCCAGTGGTTCCTTTTGCTCAGTTGGAAGGAACCATTTCCTTCGGATTGCAATGGTTTCTTCTTTAACCTTTTCTCAGTTGAATGAGCTTCAATGTCAAAGCAGAAAGCCGGGAAACTGGACTGTTCGGCTTTGAAAATGTGGAAACAAAATGTTTTGACAATTTCAGAACTTTTTTTTTTAATCAAACTTGTTGCCAGCCGGGAGATTTGCCAACACGGACCTGGTTTCCTGAACGGTTTCGACAAATCAGCATCGTTTGATGAAAAAAACGTTTGTCAAAAAGTTCCTGACCAGCCACTAGGGGGCAGCGTTACACACACAGTCCGTTACCCTCCTAGAACGCCAGCTTTGGAAGTCTGTTGCACATGGGGACGAGTGGCCACTCCCCAGCACCAGCCAAACTGAGATCCTAACCCAACCCAACTCCCTCCTGTCCCATTCTGGGGAAGCGCCATCTCTCTGCCCAGGGATCACCTGGGGCCAGTGTTATTATTAAACACCTCTGAACAAAGAAACCACCTCTTGGGGAGGCGGAAATATGAACAATAGTGAAATCCTCCCTTTAGCTGCCTGCTGAGATGGGAGAGAGCAACTGCATCCTGGCAAGCATGCCCATGCACCGGGCGCTTTGTGTAATAATAATAATAATCTGCCTCCATAAGGGCCTGCTTCCCACTTAAGGCACTGGACTAGGTCTCCAAAGATCTGGCTTTAATCCCTGGCTCTGCTACTGACCAGAGACAAGTCACTTTATTGCTGTGCCTCAGTTTCCCATCTGTAAACCGGGGCTGACGATTGTGTCTTGTCTACACAGTCGGTTCCCAAGGGCAGGGACCGTCTCTTACAATGTGTCCAAGCAGCGCTGTTCCTTGGATCTGCTCCAAGCTGATACCTCCTTCTCCTCCCTTCACGCCCCCTAACGCCCAAAGAGGGTGATGCCTGAAAGGACTTGGGCCTGTCTAAGCACTAGCTCCGAGCCCTTCCGATGGTCAGCGTGTGCAGCTCTGCTTCCCTGTGGAAACGGGGCGACGCTGGCAAAGCTTGGCACGAACGTCACATGGCCAGATGCTTCGGCGCAACTAGGCAGCTTTAGTCTTGTGGGACGCTGATACGGAATCAGCCCCGCTGATGTGCGTATGGACCGCTGCCCCCTGCTGGACGGTGCCGATGTGCGTATAAACCGCTGCCCCCTACTGGATGGTGCCGATGTGCGTAGAGACCGCTGCCCCCCGCTGAATGGTGCTGATGTGTGTAGAGACCACTGCCCGCCACTGGATGGTGCCAATATGCGTATGGACTGCTGCCCCCTGCTGGATGGTGCCGATGTGCGTATGGACCACTGCCCCCTGCTGGATGGTGCCGATGTGCGTATGGACCGCTGCCCCCGCTGGATGGTGCCGATGTGCGTATGGACCACTGCCCCCTGCTGGATGGTGCCGATGTGCGTATGGACCCCGCCATGATGCTGATGTGCGCATACCCCGTGCTGGGTGGTGCCAAAGTGTGTATTCACCACTGCCCCCTGTTGCTGTGGCTAGGACGGGTCACACTCTAATGGCTGGGGTCCTGAGCAGAGGGCTAAGCCCCACCACCCCCAGTAAGAAAAGGTGATTCTCCTCTAGCTCATGTTGTCCGAGGTCTGCGTTTTACTGCCCGTGCAGGACGCCACAGGGGCCAGCGAGCCATTGTGAACATACCCCAGCGCCACGGGCGGCCAGGGGACAGGAGGCAGACAAGGGTGTTGGCAGGGCATCCCCCGTTCTCTGCATCCCTGTGGGTGGAGCGAGGTTCCTCCCGGCCGACCTGCCCCTATCAGCGCTGGCCAGGGCATTTGCGATTCAGATCCACGTGTCCCGTTTAGCCAAGCATGGCAGCGTGGGCTCCTGAACTCGCCCCTCCCGGCCTGATGAGCGCTGTCAGAGCAGCGGGCCGCGGCGGGCTTGGGGGCTGAATGACAGGCGGTGTAATTAGCGGCACCATGACGGGGGAGGGGTGGGAGGGCTGCGGAGAATGGAACTGACTCATTTCTATCTGGCACCGAGCTGGGACGGAGCTGATGGGCCTGTCCGGGCTAGGGGTGCCAGGTGTCCAGTTGAAAAGGGACCATCGCAGTGCCAGTTAGCACTGCTGATCGGGCCGTTAAAAATCTGGTTGGTGTGGGGCTCGCAGGCTCCCTGCCTGGCTCTGTACAGCTCCCGGAAGCGTCCAGCATGTCCCTCCAGCTCCTAGGCATAGGGGCAGCCACGGGGGCTCCATGCACTGCCCCCGCCCTGAGTGCCGGCTAAACAGCTCCCATTGGCTGGGAACTGCGGCCAATGGGAGCTGCGGGGGTGGCGCCTGTGGACAGGGGCAGCGTGCAGAGCCCCCTGGCCGCCCCTTCGCTTAGGAGCTGGAGGGATGGGATGCCACTTCCAGGAGCCACCTGAGGTAAGCTTCACCCAGAGCCCGTGCTCCTCATCCCCTCCTGTGCCCCAGCCCCCTGCCCCAGCCCAGAGCCCCGTCATGCATCCCAAACCCCTCATCCCAGGCCACACCCCAGAACCCACACCTCCAGCTGGAGCCCTCACCCCCTCCCACACCCCAACCACCTGCCCCAGCCCAGTGAAAATGAGCGAGTGAGTGAGGGTGGGGGAGAGCGAGTCACGAAGGGAAGGGGGATGGAGTGAGCAGGGGCGGGGCCTCGGAGAAGGGGCGGGGCAGGGGGTGGGGCAAGGGTGTTCGATTTTCTGCGATTAGAAAGTTGGCAGCCCTAGCCTGGGCGGATCCGGATGGGAAGTGTGACACCGGCAGAGGAAAGAGCAAAGTGGCCTGGCACAGCCCAGAGACCCGGCCAGGGGGCAGGGCAGAGGGGGTGGGTCAGACAGGTGCTGAGAGGCTGGATTCAGACTTGAGCTCTGGGGCATTGTCAGTCCTGGGGCAAGTCGCTTCATCCTGGAAACTGGGGGCGAGGTTTCTCTACCTCACAGGTAGAACTTTCATCCATCCGTGCCTGCCAGGTGCTTAGATACAGCCAAGGAAAGTGTACAGATCACTAGGGTACAAACGTAGGTAACCCCACATGTCCAGACATGGGAAGCTCCCGATTTGGGGATGGGGATTCCCCCAAAATGTGTGGGACTGGACCTGCCTTTCCTGGCCTACAGGATAATCAGCTCTGAGTTTACCTGGAGACCTATGAAACATCCTCTCAACAACACTGTGACCTGCTCTCCGCTCTGGCCTCCGGAAGAGGGGGCGTTATGGGCCCCGCCACATGCTGGAGCCAGTCTGACAGCCCGTCCCTCCCCACAAGCTTTTCCAGAGGGGATCCTGGCTTCAGAGACCCCTCCTCGGGATAGCAGGTCTCTCTAGGAGCTGGCCTACACGGCGGATAAGGGCCAGCTACTGCTACCAGTCAGTGGAGTTTCCTCCCTTAGCTGAAGTTGTCGAGGCCTGCGCTGTGGAGCTCAAAGCCCAGGGGTCTAGCCCCATGTTGGCAGGGGGTTGAGAGTTGGGGCGCGGCCTGCTGTGGGTGCCTGGTTCAACCCCCTCAAATACCCGTCTTGCCCCATTCCCTCTCCCAGGGCAGCGATGACCCGGCACCTCCACTCGATGCCCCATGGCTCTCCGACGGAGCATGGACACTCAGTCCAGTCCCTGACCCCCACTGAAAGGCGGATGTAGCCAGCTGCCCCCACTCCCATACGCACTGCTGCAGCGGCCGCATGGCCCAGCCTGTTACATCCTGCAGCCGTGCGTAATGACCGAGCGAGCTGCCCTCTTACCTGGCACTCACACTTCAGTTTCTGCTCCTTCTGGAAGGCCAGCGTGCTGGTCAGGACGGTGGAGGTGTAGCAGAAGCAGTGTTGGATTCTGTGCTCGTCGGCCTCCGTGTAGCTGAGGCAAGAAGAGCGGCACGGTCAGAACAGGGACGGCGCGCGGTGGCTCCTGCGGCCAACGCCGCTCAGCTGGGGAGCCTGCCGGTGCTGCCTGTCCAGAGGAGATCCACCTCACTGACATGCAGCCACCTCTGGGGCAGGACATGGCAGCTGTTCCCCAGTGCACCGTGCATTCCCCTCCTCTCTCCCCAAGGCCCAGCTCCCCGGGCCCATCACTGCCCTGCCTCAGTTTCCCCCGCTGTAGGACAGGAATGCGGCAACTGACGCACCTCGCAGCAGGGTGGGGGTGAGGATTCCTACACAGTCTATCAGGCCTCAGGTCAGGTCAGCCGGGATTTGCCCTCATCTGCTCCTGTCCCCTTCCCAAAACCCTGGCCTGGACCGGCCCTCTCGAACGGGCGGTGCCGACCTCGCCCATGAAACGGTGGCAGGCTACTGGCGGGATCAGGGAAGGAGGGGATGGGGCTTTGCTCTGTTGTTATTATTCAGCTCTGAATCCAAGTTTCAAGAAATGAATTACCCAGCGAGGGGGCTTCTCTGCCTGTGGATCAGGGGAACGCTTCACTGCGCCTTTAACTGGAGCTGGTGCCTGGCTCAGACAGCGCCCAAACCTGGCATGGACGCTGAAGGCTCTGATCAGCAGCACAGCCCTTCCCCCGTCCTACACCCGCTTGGGTCCCAAGCACCAGGCAGTAAAGGCCCAGGGCACAATTCTACCCTGTCCTTCCTCTTGTGTTGTCACTGGAACATGCAGCTGAACATGACACCATTCTGAGTGGGAGCTTTTTTACATCCAAGTGGCATCTGGCAACAAAGCCCCCCTGCTGCAGAGAGTTCCACCGGTTAACAACATGGTGCTCAATGGAGAGGTTCTTTGCACAGTGTGACGAAGTGGGACTGTTCTTAATGTTTCCTCTGAATACTGTAGGGGTGCCTCAGTTTCCCCTATGCATTTCTTAAGTCTCTAGGTGGTGGGATAAGGGGGTGTAATTGTTGCAGAGCAAAGGGCCATTGTGCATAAATGGCCAACACTCTGTCTCCTGGCAACCAATGGCTGGGGCCCTTCCCCCCTGCAAGGTGATAGCTAAAGGTGTTGGGGAACAAAGGAATCAGGTGACCTCCTGGCCCCGGAAAGAGACAAAGGCCAGAGAGAGGAGGGGCTGGAGGGTGAGTCAGTTTGGAGCTGGCTGGGGACTGTGGAGTGAAGTGCAGATGTGGTTGGGCTCACTGCCCCCCAAAATGGACCTGGCCGAGGGGTCTTGTTCTCTGTACCTACAGGCTCTGTTTTAGACCATGTTCCTGTCATCTAATAAACCTGTTTTACTGGCTGGCTGAGAGTCACGTCTGACTGCGAAGTGGGGGGTGCAAGACCCTCTGGCTTCCCCAGGACCCCGCCTGGGCGGACTCGCTGTGGGAAGCGCACGGAGGGGCAGAGGATGCTGAATGCTCCAAGGTCAGACCCAGGAAGGTGAAGCCGTGTGAGTTTCTTGCCCCGAAGACAGTCTGATCACAGAGAGGAGACTTCACCAGAGTCCTGCCTGGCTTCGTAGGGAGCAGTTCCAGAGCATCGCCCGGGGACGCCGTGACACATGGTGCTAGGGTTACTCCATCGAGTGAGCCCTTGGTCTCCTCTCACGGAGTGGAGGAGAGACTGCTGGGTTTTCACTCCATCCTTCCTGGTTTAAAGACCCCGGTCCAATCCCCTCCACTCTTCCCCCGTATTAATTTTCTGCCTCCAGTATCTGATGCTACAGGCTGAGGCAAGGAAGTCCCGAGCCCCTCCCCACACCAGCCAAATGCTCTAATTAACGTCGCTCGAAGCATCTACACAATCTCAAGACAGCTCGATTCCCTTTGGACCCGTGGCACCAATCAGTGGGGGGCTGATGCTCCCCCAGGGTTTTCGCACTTGCTCAGCGTTTCACAGGCCGCAAAGCCTGGCTGCTCTGAAGCAATGGCTCTGCCCGACCTCAGGCCAGCGGTCTCGCTATGGCTGCATGCCGGCCGCTGACATCCCAGCCACACTGATGGAGGAGCGGCCAGGCCGAAAGGTGGCAAGCAGAATTGCACCCCGGCACGCCCCAGTTCGGCCTGCCGGCCCTGTACGGCATGTCGCAGGAGGTCTGCCAAGAACTCAGCTCCTAGCAGCACCGGCTCATGCACTGGGCGGGTAAGACAGGGAGGCTCCCCGGCAAGACAGACTTCGGGTCCCTGTGGGAGGAGGAGATGGGTGCATGGGGGCCGGAATGGGGTTGGGCTTGGGGGTATCCCCCTGGAATCCTCCCCCAAGAACTTCTGAATTGGTGGTGCTGCTTTAGACTGGCTCGCCTGTCTCCTACCCACCTGGCTCCCAAGCAAGCGTTCCCCCTGCAGGGAAGGTCTGTCTGCCCTGGGAGGCGTGAAGGGAGGGTCTGCAGGCTGCACACGGCTAAGTGCATTGATGCGGGTTCCTGCACCGTAACTCATGGCCAAGAGCAAATCACGAAGATCGCCAGAGAGCTCTGGGCCAGCGTTGGTACTGAACAAGGCTAAGATGGAGGGGTTTGGCTGGGGGAAGTTCCTAGCCACGCTTATTGCTGCAGGGCCAATCAAGAGCTCAGCCCCTCTGCGCTAGGAGCTGTACACAGCGTGAGCAGCAGACGGTCCCTGTCCCGAAGAGCCGACAATCTCAGTAGACCCGGGATGGGGGAAGGGGTAGGAGACACCAGCTGAGTGACCGATGGGTTAGCAGCAAACGGCGTGTCAGTGCCATGGGGTGTTTTCGGGGGGGCTGTTAGTGTTAGGGAGGTATCAGCTAAATGGGAAGGGAAGGGGGTGAGAGGCATGGGGCAGGGGAGGAGACACGGTGTGGGGAGATGCTGAGGGGAAGGATCTGCAGGGGAAGGGGAGGGCTGGAGCCAGCAAGTTCTCTGAATGGCCTGAGGACCCAGCTTTGCCCCCACAGCTTGGAGTCTCTGGCTGATCTCGGCAGCTTTCCGCAAGGCCACATGGCGGGACGTGGGGAGTGGAGGCAGCACCCGGTCCTAGTGCCCCAGAGTGCACGGGGGACAGTTCGGGGTCCAGAGGAGTGCTGGGCGGAGAGGTGGCCAAGGCCGGGCTGCATTTTACCCCATCCCAGCACTCCCTGTAATGGATGACTTCCCCCCATAGTGATCCTGCATTAGAACGGGGCAGGGGTCATCCCCCCAGCTACAGAAGCCCCCCGGCTCCCTTCCGGCAGCCCCAGGAGTTCACAACAGAGAAGAACGCAGCCGACATGGTCTTACACGCAAAGGGGCAGCCAGAAAAAAACTCCAAGGCCCAGCATGCAACGTCCCAGTGTGGCCTTCTGTTTGGATCCAGGTGGAGCACACTGCATGCTGGGACTTGTAGTCTGTAGGAGCTGCGCCACCGTGCTGGTGACCAGGGTGACCTGCCAGAACCCCATGCCTGAGTGGCAGAGGCAGCCTGAAACCGCCAGCTGCCCCCCAGCCAGGAGCCCTCCTCTGCAGGCAGCTGGGCTCACCGCGATCTAGCCCAACGGCCACCAGCTCAGGCCGGGAGAGTGGGAGAGACGGTGCGGCAGCGAAGTGACGGAGCGATGCCGAGCGGTCGGTGCATGGGGACCAGGGCTGGAGCCTGCCAGGTGCTTGGGGCCACGGCTCTGCTTTGGGCTCCGGACCTCGCCCGTAATCCGTGCCCCGTCAGCACAGCTCTGCGCAAAGGCGCAGCCAAGGGGCCCCGGCCCAGCCGTAAGGAGCAGAGCCGGTGTCAGCGCGGGGCTAGCGCCCGGGGAGCATCCTCCCCAAGAGCCTCCGACTCACCTCTCTCCGCCCTGCTTGTTGAAAGCGCAGGCTAAGGCCACCACCTGGGAGGTGGCCCGGCTAATGACCGGCACGCACAGCATGGAGGTCACCTCGAATCCCAGCATGTTGTGAAGCTGCTTGTGTTCCTCCTGGGAAGAGAAGATCAGACCGGGGTGAGGGTCAGGACGTGGGGCAGGGGAGGATCAGGCCGGGGTGAGGGTCAGGACGTGGGGCAGGGGAGGATCAGGCCGGGGTGAGGGTCAGGACGTGGGGCAGGGGAGGATCAGGCCGGGGGGAGGGTCAGGATGTGGGGCAGGGGAAGGTCAGACCATGGTGAGGGTCAGGACGCGGGGCGGGGAAGGGTCAGACCGCGGTGAGGGTCAGGACATGGGGCATGGGAGGGTTAGACCGGGGTGAGGGTCAGGGCTTGGGGAGGGGCAGACCGGGGTGGGGATCAGGATGTGGGGCAGGGGAGGGTCAGACCGCGGTGAGGGTCAGGTCTTGGGGAGGGTCAGACCGCGGTGAGGGTCAGGT